TACTAGTCTCATCTATGAAAGTCTATTATAGTCCCAAGATATTATGAATCCCCTTTCTCATTTTGCAAACAAATACAATATTAATGAATTTCACATACATCTTAATTCAATCTCATCTCCTATAACCCAAAACAAATGGACCCTTAATATTTTGAGGATGTCCATGTGTCGTTTGGGAAGTGGATTGGCTTTTTATCTTTTTTGGCTATTTAGTTTGGGCTAAAAAGCTTGGTTTGAAAATGGCTTTTTGACTTTTTTAGCTTTTTTTGTGAGAGAAGAGTGTAATGATTGTGGATTAGATGTGATATTTTGTTTGTTGTGATTAAAATAACCTATTTTATCTTTTTTGGCTAAAATAGCCCCAAACCTATCTAAACCCACTTGCCAAACCATGCCAACACCACAACATTAAAAGGGTATTATTATCCAAAAAAGGAAGACTCGCAAAACTTTCTTCATTAAAAAAACAAAATAATAATAATAATTTTAACAATTATCAAAAAATCAACTTTTTAAATTCTGAAAAAGTTTATAAAAAAAAAAATTTGCCAAAGCCACCATAAATCAATGCATTGAAATAGCATGACAGCAACTTCATTTAAAAATTCCTAGGAAAATAAATAGAATAATTGAATCATAAAATAGTCAAGAATCTAGATTGAAGAGCATATATAAATATAATAAATGTCTTCAATTGTTTGGCCTCAAGCTCCAAAAACCTTCGACCGTTACTAATTACTTGGAATATCACCAACGACAAATCTCATTGACAATGGTTTTTATTTATTTATTTTTAAATACAGTTCACTAACTAATTTGTGAAGCTAAGCTTAAAAAGAAAAAAAAAATTAAATTAAATTGTGGAAATAGTTTCTTTTGTCGAGGAGTGTTAATTAATCAAATTTTTATAATTTCTTGAAAAAATGCAAAGAGGGAACACATACCTGAAGTTGGGCTTCAAGAAAATTGAGAATAATGCTGGGAATAATGCCTCTGATTCCACCACCATCAATAGACAACACAGTCCTTAAGTCTCCATATTTTTCGGATTGAATTTGAAAAAGATGCGAACTTGTTCTCTCCATTACAAAATCGAAAAATCAATAAGACTATGATATGACAATCACAATTACAATCACAATCACGAGCACTATCACTAATACTAGTCTATAGAACACTTCTTGACTATCACTTGTTTCAAACACTTTTTAACTATCTTTTGAGTTTTTACTTTCACTTGCTTAACTATATCCATATAAATTCTCTAACCCTCTTATTTATAACTTTTTTGACATACCAAAAAAGGTTTGTGATACGAAATTTGAAAAGTTCCCAAATTTATGAGATAATTGTTATTATTTTTTTGGATTGAAGAAAATTAAGATAACTGAGATGAAGCAAAATCTTCCACAATGGCATTATCTAACATAACCGAATATAGGTCATTGTCATCCTATATTATATTTTTGGAAATTTCCATTTATGAATATATATGCAGAATCTTTTACAACAACGGCTCTTTTTGACTATCCTTTGCCATCTCTTAGTTATTTAGCTGCCGTTTGGCAAATGAGGTAAAAGTGAGTTGGGATTAAAAAAATATAAATTAGACTAAATAAATTAATAAGACAAAATGATATATTTAAATTATAATTATTTTATTTTTTTCTCACAAAAAAAATAAAAAGGTCAAAAAATTCTTTCCAAATAGAACTAATTTAATCAGGTTAAATGAGCTAAAAAATAAAAAAAGTCGGGCTAAAAAAATTCTTTCCAAACGAACCCTAAGACGATTCATAATATGTTTTTATTTGTATTTTTTTAGGAAATTACAAATACATCTCCTCATATTTGCTTAAAATATGAATTATTTCCTATTATTCTAATAATTATAGATACTCTCTTATTAGAATTTTTTTATTTAATAAAATTAACAGAAAATATAAAATTTCTAACTACTATCCTATGTAACAATCAGATTACTTAAACTGTTAATTAAAATATATTTCTGATATCATTTAAAACTGTTAATTGACTTTATGATTTTTTAATAAAACCATTTGTTATGCAATTAGAATTTAAAGGGGCGAAATGTAATTTCTAGAACACATGAGACAATTTGTATTTTAGGCAAACTTTAAGGGATGCGTTTGTATTTTACCTCCTTTTTTGTTTGTACAAAAATGAATGTAAATAGGCTACTCTATATACTCATCATTTTGAACAAAAAAAGATCACCTACAAAACTAAAAATAAAGTGAAATTCAAAAGAAACTATTGGGACCACTAATAATGAAGAAATTACTTCAATAATCCCTATAATTAGAGATGTAATCAGTTTGATATGGTCAATATTTAGATAAAAAATTACACTGAATCGATAATGTTTGTTTTATTATTTTGAACACTGATGCAAACCACTTCTCCCATCAAATCGCACGGAACCGAACCAATTGAAAGGGTTCGATTTGGTGTTGTTTAATCGGCCTAGGATTTTCAAACATGAGCCACTTTTAAATATAATCATTAATCTATATAAAAATATTAAATTAGTTATTTGTCTATCATTTCAAACATATCTAATCCATCCATTTAATACATACTTTTTAATTCATAAATTAACCCAAAAAAAAAAATACTAAGGTTTCAAGACTAATGAATTAGAGTTAAGATTATATATAATAAGAGTTTACAAATTGAGGTTAGAAAGATGATAAGGTTAATACTTTATTATACTTATTAATATCATTATATTATTAGATTATATATATATATATATATATTATAAATACAATATATGTTAAAGCGGTCGGTTTCGGTTTAGATCGGTGGACAAGGTACTTAGACCGATACTGAACCAAAAATAGAAAAAAAAAATTAAACTTCCGATACTGAACCAAAAATAGAAAAAAAAAATTAAACTTAAAAACTACAAAGACCGATTCTTATTAAAAAAACGGACCAAATATAACCGTTTTAATCCGATTCAATCGGTTTAGTCAATTTTTTCTATTTTTCCTACATTCCTATCTATAATTTATTTTCATTTTCATCCCTCTAATTTTTTCTCCAATATTGTATTTTGGTGAGAAATTATCACCTTGGTAGTATTGTGAAGCCCGATGGAATATCAAGTCTTTAGAGTAAAATTGTCTTTTCTCAAATTTGTTTTAAAAAAACTGTTATTTGATCATAAAAGCTTCGGAAAATTCGGTTTTCATACATCTAATTATTTTAGTGCATACACTTAATGAAATATTATTTTAATAGTAATTATATCCTAAACTAAAATGACTATAATGAACATTCACTGGCACCCATAATATTATATGAAAATATTTTCGATACACATCTTTTAAAAATAAAAATAAAAATCTCAATGTGCACATTTTGAGTAAAACAAAAACAAAACCCTAGTTTTTCTATTGTTATCACTTTGTTTGCTATACACTTTATACTCCTCTATTACTTGCAAAGCAATACTCTCATAGCAGCTCTCATATTACTTTAATCTCTATATTTATACTCAATTAGTGATGAAAAAGTTTTTTTTTTTTTTTGTGCAGAACTTTTTTTTTTTTTCCCTTTCATGGTTATTAGTCAGACAACCAGTACCGAATTATTTCATTATATTCAGAAATCAACTGCAGAAAGCTTTTTTATTTTTTTTGGGAACAAATTTGTCGAACTAATCACTTTTATTCCGAAGTTAAGTTTTGAATTAAATGTATAATTTCGGAAAACCAGTGCCAAAATCTCCAAATCGCAAAACATAAAAAAAAAAAAATTAAAAATAAAAAGTAGAGGGTTTTATGGCAATGGAGTGCACAGAGATTTAGAAATGACAAATGTAATAACAAAATGAACAGATGCCTCATCTTCAACAATATTTTGGAGGGGTTTCAATGATGTTTTTAATGGAGGTTCAATAAGATCTTCAATTGAGGACTTTGTCTTCATTTCACACTATGGTTTTGCATGGTCTTCACGTGGGTTTACAAATCTAGAAGTAAGGTCACTCAACAAGTGTGTGGGTGGTCAGTGGACGGGAGGAACTTGCGACGTTAATTTTGTCACCCTTGATAGCTTTTCTTTTTTGAGCAAGAAAATTATTTTGACTTTGATATAATACAAAAGATCGTAATGTCTGTTACAAATATTATAATATAGATCACAAATCTCATAATAATATCAAAAATATATACTAACTTTTGTCATTGTAGCACAAACAATTACATATTGGATTGGAATGAAAGAGTGAATGTGAAAAATCATAATTAATTACACGATTGAGTTAATCGATAATTTGTTTATCTTATTATTATCAGCAATGCTAGGTATCATGAAAAGTCTTTTGTTAAACCTACTCCACTACACACTCCACCTCACCTACTCCACTAAACCTAACCCACTACACCACCTACCACCTCCACTTCACCTACTCCACCTACCACCTACTACCACCTACTCTTCTATATATAGGAATCATTGTATACATTCATATCAATCATAAATAACATCAATTATAATACATACAATTTATTCTCTCTCTATTTCTCTTTATACATTAAATTTTACATGGTATCAGAGCAAGGTTAAGACCTTAGTATTTTCCGCTTCCCCGGCGGGCGGCACCCTCGCCTTGGCCGCCCGCCGGACCTCAACCTAGCCCGTTAGAATTTTCTACACCAACTTGATCTTCTCATCCACGACCCATCACACTGATACACACACACGGCAGAAATCTCTACCAATCACCAACTTGATCTTCTCATCCACGACCCATCACACTGATACACACACACGGCAGAAATCTCTACCAATCAATGTCTCTCACAAGCAGCAGTTCTCTTCTTCCTACCAAAACTCTGGTTTGGATTCATCAATCTCTCCTATCTCCTTCTCTAACCCACCAACCAGTTCGGGCTTGTCGATCACTGCCACGGCACCGGCGTAGCCAACGCCGGACTCGTTTACTTCAACGGCCGATTACTCGCCATGTCCAAAGACGATTTACCGTACCACATCAGAGTCACTCCCTCCGGTGATCTCGAAACAGTTGGTCGGTACAATTTCGATGATCAGCTCGAAACCACCATGATTGCTCACCCCAAGCTCGACCCAATTTCTGGTGAGCTCTTCGCTCTAAGCTACAATGTCATTCAAAAGCCGTACCTCAAGTACTTCCGATTCTCACCATCAGGTGAGAAATCGCCGGACATTGAAATCCCACTATCTGAATCAACAATGATGCATGACTTCGCAATCACCGAGAGGTTCGTGGTGATTCCTGATCAACAAGTAGTTTTCAAGCTCCCGGAAATGATCCGTGGTGGGTCTCCTGTGGTGTATGACAAGAACAAAGTGTCCAGGTTTGGGATTTTGGATAAGTATGCTACTGATTCTTCTGGAATCAAATGGGTTGAAGCTCCGGATTGCTTTTGTTTCCATCTTTGGAATGCTTGGGAAGAGCCCGAGACCGACGAAGTGGTGGTGATCGGGTCCTGCATGACCCCACCGGACTCGATTTTCAACGAATGCGACGAGGGTTTACAGTCTGTTTTATCAGAAATCAGGCTCAATTTGAAGACTGGCAAGTCCACTCGCAGACCCATCATGAGCGAGTCTAATCAAGTCAATTTAGAAGCTGGGATGGTGAATCGGAACAAACTCGGACGCAAAACCCAGTTCGCTTACCTCGCGATCGCTGAGCCGTGGCCTAAAGTCTCTGGTTTCGCTAAAGTCGACTTGTTTTCTGGTGAAGTGAACAAGTTCATGTATGGTGATGACAAGTATGGTGGTGAGCCTCTGTTTCTTCCAAGAGACCCCAATTCAGAAAATGAAGATGATGGGTACATTCTTGCTTTTGTCCATGCCTCTCGGGTCATTCAGGAGCAGCTCCCATGTCTGATTTTTCAGACATGATTCCCTTTCCGTTGTCTCCCACGTGATCCCCTTTCCTTTCTTTTCTTTTCTTTATTCTCCACCCACACAACCCAACCCTCGACTCTCACTCACTTTTCTTTTTTTTTCACACCCATCCACCGCCCACATTTTCTTTTTTAATTGGTGCTCTATTTTTTATTCATTATTATATATTCATCATCACTATGCTTATCATTTCATCACCATCTCCATATTTTTTTTTTTTGAAAAAAAATTTCTTTAAAAAATATTTTCTAGTAAAACAAATAGAGCATTAGTTTAGCGTTATCAACATACCATTATTGAGTATTGACCATCTTACAATTTCAAAAAAAAAAAAAAAAAAACTATTCTACTAGATGGGGCTTTGATTAGTCAAATGATTTAAAATCATGTTAATTTTTCTTCTAAAAGTTGCTTAGTTTAGTCACTCTCACGTTCTTTGCTATCTTAAATTTCCAACATTTTTCCTATTAGAAACCAATAACAAATAAAATATCTCATAGCCGTTGTGCAACAAATATTGATTTGTTCTATCCATGATAGGGACAAGTTTCTTCTTCTTGTTATAATTTTCATTTTGTCCTCAATCATGGCAGTTGATCAAGCAAAAATTGAAGTCCCTAATAAGAAAAGCTTTGTTAAAAATTTACCCGTTTGTGCATGATTTAGATTCAATTCTCTATAGTGGGATTTACACTTGAAATGTATCTCAACTATTCAATACTTTTTTTGAGTAAATTTTTTGGGTACCTAACGTTGCTACATCATTAAATGCTTGAGGGAGAGTTTGCTTACTGAAATAAAGGTAAAACCAAATGGAAGGTTATTTTTTAGCTTTACAATGAAATTACCATTATCTTACAACGAACGAATAATGGTTTCATACGCAATATATTGTTTTCATTTAAATGGCTAACACTCTTCTATGTATATGATATTCCCATGAATATATAAATATGAGAATCATATTTCAAATTTGTTTTTAATCATACCTCGAGTCAAAACAAATAATTAGAAATCACTTTCTTATTCCATGTTTTAATTCATTTCCCTTTAAACTATGTTTGAATCATAAATTTAAAGACGGAAAGGAATAAATGAAATAATTTGTACATTGAATTGTTGTCGCTTGAAATCGTTCGAATTTGTTGATGTTGGTGGTCTGGTCGGATGACCGGCTTCACCCTCGTCTACCGCGGTCATCACTCTCGTATACCGCAGTAGTTATCATGTTATCCGAACGACCGGCCAGACAACCAATATCAATATATCGGGCAAAATCAAATTCGGTGGATGTAACATTGCTCAAGAAATAATATACGAGAGAAATAAATGAAATATAAACTCTCCATTTTTTTTTTCTCTCTCTTTTTCTTTTTACTTTCTAAATTCTTACTTGTGTTTAGATCATGTTAGAAATTTGGTACAGGAAAGGAAAGTACGAGGAAATTAAGAAAAAAAAAAAGACTTGTAATTCATTTACATTTAACTCACTTCACATTTTTCTTACTCTTTTCAAATATATACTCAAATTCAAAATCACAATATAAAATTCCTATTGTTAATATAATTGTTAAATTAGTATATAATTGTTAATTGAATCTTTAGCTTTAGTATAATTATTAATTGTATAGGTTTATGCTTTCCTTTTTGCTTTCGGTGATAGTGGAGCACTTTGGTATCCAATGTAACCATTCTTCTCTCTATAAAGAGAGAGTTCATTCCTCTTTGAATGTATCACATACAATACAGAAACACATCAATCTTGTATCATACATATTCATCACATCAATTATAATACATACAATTTATTCTCTCTGTATTTCTCTCTTTATACATCAATTCTAATAATGTGAATTGAGAAAATTTATTAATAATCAAATTAATAAATATATATAGTGTAAGAATTTATATACTTGTGTGTGTGAAAATTGAATTTGTCACAAGTTTATAGAAGTATTTCTATTAAGGAAACAATCTCAAAGAAATCTGACAACTGTCTTGTTATCCAAGAGAGATAAGACAGAATGTGTGTTTCATAGTCTCCGACACATTCTTTCCATTTTAGGGTTTCACTGTAGTTATATATGTGTATATATATATATATATATAGAAATCGGATTCACTAAATTTAAATGATGGTAATGACACATTGCCACATCAATTTGTAAAATAAATTTATTTTGTTAATATATCACGTATAACAATTTCATTTTTAAATTGATGATAACTCTTAAAAATGTATAAAAGTTATTATTTGATGGTTGAACTATCCGAAAAAATTATCTATAATTTTTAGATAATTAAACCAACTCTCATCTCCTAATGCAAACAATGGATAGGCCGTGTAAGCAACCAAACCCAAAAAAAATTAGAAGGATTTAGGGTATAATTTGTGTCCATAGGATAGGTTTTGACCAATAAAATGCAATGACATGATTTCAGAAATTTATCCCAAAAATAAAAGTATTATCCATGTATATATTATACAAAAGTGAGGTTTTAAGAGTTGGACTTCTCAAAACTTCAAAATCTCAACTCAAAATTTTTTTAATTTTTAAATTTTGGTTTATTATACTTTCTATCTCTAAACTATCATCAAAATATTTATTTTGTCCCTAAATTATCAATTGAGTTTACTAGGTCCCTAAAATATATAAATCAAAATCTATGCAGTTACTGTATCATCGATTAAATCTATTAAGTTCCTAAAATATTTAATTCAAACCTATTTAGTTCCTAATAATATTTTAAAAAATAAAATATGAATACATAAATATTTTAAATTAGTAAAAGACCAAATCTAGTTAAGATTTTATTCCAAAAGAAAATCTTAAATTTCTATTTTGTCCTAAAATTGTTTTGTTTTGTTATGTGTTTAATTAGTATTAGATCTTGATTTCTTGATCTTGCAAATAAAATTATAGATATACCAAAAAAGTAAAATTAAATAATTTAAGAAATAACACTTTGCTACAAATAATAATAGAACAAACTAACACATTAATTAAGTTATTAAAAAAATTAACGAAAAATCTAAAGACAATTAATTAGAAATTGTAAATAAAATTTAGCATGTAATACTAGACAAAGGAAATCCAATTGTTAACTTAAACTTGTTTAGATCCTGAAAGAATTTTCAATTGTGATATAAACCCCCACACATACATGACCTCTACAACCTCCACTCTCATCCCAACCACTCATAATGTAGGGTCTACACATACATGAGTGGACCCCACACACACATCAAAGGCCAAAATCAAATTGGGGGTCATGCCACCCCAAAAAAAGGGTCCCAAACATTTCTTTTAAATTAAATACTTTAGAGAGATAACATATGCAATTGATTGATTAGGAACTAAATAGATTTTGATTTATATATTTTAGGGACATAATAAACTTGATTGATAGTTTGGGGACTAAGTAAATAATTCGACGATAACACAGGGGTAGAAAATGTAACAAACCCTTTAAATTTTAGAAAGGTTAAGACTATGTCACAACAAATTTATATTAGATCATACTTCATTTATTCAAAGAAAAAAAAGATTAAATACTAATAATAATAATTCTACACCTACTAACAATCTTAGTAAAAATACAAAAATCTAAATGTGATTGGTCCTCAAAAACACAATGATATTTAAACGCCCAATAATATTTGGACATGTATATTTTTAATAGTAGGATTTTAAGTAGATGTAGCACTGTTAAAAAAAACAAACAAGCTTTTGAGAAAGTGTAGGCCATGTTTTCTCTTTTCTTTTTTCTTGTTTTTTTTAAAGTTAAATGAGCCTGCTCTCTGTCACTGACCCCAAAGAAAGCTTGATTTTTGCCTCCACTACCTACTGGGTAAAAAAAACTAGAAAGTAGAAACCAAAGAAAGGGAAGACAAAGTTCCTACTATACAGTTCATTATTTTATTTTTTTTAGGGGGCAAGTATTCATTATTTGAATTATAGAGAAAAATAATTTCACTGATGGGTTTCGTTCTAAATGAATCTTTAGTAAATTTATCTGCTGCTAGCCTTTTGTTAATTTTAAGCATTTTCTTTGCACAATGGATTGATTACTCTCTTGGTTTTTAGCAATACCAGAGCTGTCCACAAGGTATGTGAACCACCATAGTTAAGGGCTTAATGAGGACTCCTGAATTTTAAGAATAAAATTAAAAATAATAATAATCCAAAGTTATGTCCCCAAAAGATTGGGCAACAAGGATCTCAGAGAATTACTCCTCAAGACTACTGATTCCCAATCTTCAAAAAATTGCATCATTAGACATTTTTCCAACATTGATTGTAAACACAGCATACCAAACATTCCAATTCCCTATCATCTCATCTATCTTATTGGGGATGTCTTGAGCGACAACAAGCCATCCAATTGAGAAACCTTTTTGTCTGGCTGTGGCGGTCCAAAAATCTCCCACAAGCGCAGCGTCTCATCTGCCACCGCTGATATCACATTCAATCCATCCGGGCTCTGCAATAGATCAATAATTCAAAGGGGAGAGCAATTATAAGGTTCAAGCAGATCTAAATTCAAGCTCTTTCTAGTTTTGAAGGACTAATTCAGACCTGAGAAAGGTGGAGGACTCTGGATGAGTGGCATGTTGACCTGCCTACTGTAGACATGGAAGGGTACCTCCACAAGCACAGCTGGTTTTTGCACTCGCTTGCACTGTAACCGTGGCCACTCAGTATCTCCTTGTGATGCCTGTTCCATTCCAAGCCACAAACCTGTTGATCATATACAACACCAAATTACTAAATGCAATGCAAATATTAATTTGTATTCAAATTTGTAAATTCTGAACCAAAACACTGAAACAGTAACAAGTGATAGTTCAATAACAATTTATGAAACAGTCTATGCAATATTTGCTGCCTAATGATTAACAGAAACAGATGGCCAAGATTTAAGTATTATGAGACCACTAAATTTACTGTTTTGAAATGAAAGTGCATCCATGTTTCGGAAAGTGCTTTCCAAAACGTAAATCAACAAGGTGTTAGCATTTTCTGGTACGAATTCCCTGAGAACCTAAGGTCTCATTTTTTATGTTTAGCCTAGGGTCTCAAAAACGTTAGGCCACACAATGATTTTCGTTTTTGGTTTTCGTTTTTGGTTTTTTGTTTTCATTTTTCAGAAAACACATAATCCCTTTTGTATGCACCCAAATTTTCAAGTAAACAGTATGTCGGAATCAATTCAAGGAAAAATTATTCCCATTTTATTTAGCTTTATCCATTTTCTCTATCTATAAAAAAATAATAAAAAGTGAAAAGTGAAAGGACTCGGTTAGACTTGCCTGTGCTTGAGTATCAATGCTGTTAATGCACAACCCATTTTGTATGCTCCATAACTTAATACACCCATCCATTGTACCTCCACCAGAGGCTAGCACATGTGAGTCATATGGGCACCAAGCAAGGGCCTTGACAGCTCCATTATGCTCATCCAACCTATGCAAGAAATGGGATGAACTCATCTTTGAAGCTTCCCAAATGTAAATCATATTGTCATTGCCACCACTTGCCAATAGATTGCCTCTGTTCGACCACTTCAATCCGCATACTTGATGGGCATGCGTTTGTACACGACAAATCATACTGTTCCTCACTCTAACTGTCAAAGAAAGCAAGCTTGAAATCAACACAATCAAGTGTCAAAAAATACATAGCCAAAGCTTAAAAGGATGTAATAATTCTATTACCATCATGATTGATAATGGATCTGTCTTGGCTCCCTGATGTTAGTATGTGGCCATTCCATGCTAAAGTGCCTACCTTTTTCTGATGACCTTCTAGGATTCTAACCTGTGCATAAAAGGCAAAATGTAGTGAAATTTCACTGTTTTAAAAGTTTAGAAGACCAAGATAGAGAGAGGGTTGTACAGGTTTGAGAGCCTCGGCATCCCAGAGATGAATCTCTGAGCACATATGTCCAACCGCGACTGCCTTGGCATCATCAGACCAGGCTACACTTGAAGGGTAATCGTTGCCACGATCTACTTGAAACAGCTTTTGAGTGTTACTGTTCTCAGCATTCCACATGTATACCTCTGATCCTAAAGCAATAGCAAGAATGTTGTTTTTTCCCCAATCCATGATGTTCAAATAGTAATCATCCTTTAAACGCGGCGCATCCAGGATTCGGGCTTCTTTCTGCTATATACAATATTACATCACGGTATTAATTTGGAAGTGTAAATTCCAGAGGCTGTTCATTAACCTCTAGAGTTGATATTTTCAACATCAAAGCCTCAATTTCATATTTTTTAAAACAATGACATATAAACACTCAAAATCACTTTGACTGAAGACTTGGAAGTCCAAAAATGGTAATGTAATATGTCTGTCAACCTAAAATCTCCCTCCGATTAATTTCATTTTTGGAATCTGTTTTCTAAAAAACAATAAAAATTAAAATATTGCTTGCCATTTTAAATAACTGTGAAGAATCATGTACCTTGGGGAAGTTTCGGTATTGCTTCGTATTATTGGTATGATTAAAAGCCTCCTCTTCACTACGCCGCATCTCATCAACAAGACGAAGCGATTTTCTACTTGATTTTGGGCTACCCCTGAAAACCAGCATCTTGAATGGTCTTCCTTCAGAATCCAAATTCAGATTCTCCTCCACCTTCTGTCGGTATTCGTGCTGGCACAAAAAGAAAAACACCCAATAAATCAAAAAGCCCTTTTGATTATTTCAAGTTTTCAGTACATTCTTCATAACCCACCAACAAAACTTAAAACTCCTAAATACCAATTAAAATAAATCTGACGGGTTCTTCATGCCACAATCAAAACATTCAAGAAACAGAGTACCCACTGAAGAAAATTTCAGTAACTACATAGCACAACCACAAATTTCAAGAACTCTAACAAAACCAATAGCCCATATGAGAGAATTTCAAGAAATCATGGAGAGAGAGAGAGAGAGAGAGAGAGAGAGACTAACATTGAATTTAGAATTGCTGGTTTCTTTAGTCCAGCTTGTAAGCAAAGTGTGGGCTTGATCAAGATCCATCAAACTCCTATTGGGTATAAACCGATCTCCCTAACATATACCAAAATGAAAAAGAAACGTAGAAATGAGACAATTTAGATCAATTGTTTCACAGAAACATGAAAAATTCTCAGAGAATTATTGAAGAAAAGGGTCTAATGATACCGGGAAATCATATTGAACGGGACTGCCGCTGAGGAGGCGAGTTGGAGAGTACCAATCGGTTTGTAATCTCCACATGGTGTTTGGATCCATCGATTGGTCACCCATTGAGAAAGCAGAAAGTAATTGAATCGATCACTGTTGGTTCTTTGTGTTGAGTCTGAAGAACAAGAACTAACGGTTGTGTGAAGGGCCTATTTAATAATTGTTGGCGCCAAAATTATGTTAATGTTTCTGAAACGGTCAAGTGTTCGTTAGTTTCCTCTCGGCCAACCGTCGCGGGTTTTACGGTTGTTTTTGTAGTTTTTGAAGTTGAAGGGAAATTCGAATTCCTTTTTTGCCCCTGTATTTGAAAACTCACAATTCCAAAAAGAAAGAAAGAAAGAAATTGTATTCACTTCAATTGATGGCATAAATCTGGGGAAAATCATATGGTGTATCTCCTATCTCCATAATGGAAAACGATATATACATGAACAAAATTTGAAAAAAAATTCGGACATCGATTTTAGAAATATTTATCAATAAATCTCATCTCACAAACAAATACTTCAATTAGTTACAAGTTTTTTCTATTGATATGTTAAGTCTTATTAGTGAAGAATTTCTTTCCATATGGTCCTATTTTATATTTTGGTAGTGTTTTGATGGATAATTATATCCTTTTATTAATGTAACAGGTATTAATGTGACACTCTAAAAAAATTAAGAACTCACTTTTCCTAAATGTGATAACGTAGCGGGTATGATCTCCAAAACTTTTATTCTAAAAAAAATAAAATTTCTTTAGTATACTTTTCTTTAATGTGACAACGTGGCGGATATGATTTAACATTTTAAAAAAAATCTTTAGTGTACTTTTTCTTAATGTGACAACATGACGGGTATGATGTGGCAATTCAAAAAAAATAAAAACTCCTTAGTGTACTTTTTCAAACGTGACAACATGATAGATATGATGTGACACTCTAAAAAAAATATACTCTAATGTGGCAAGTATTAATATGACACTCCAAAAAAATAAAAAATTTCTTAGTGTACTTTTCCTAAATATGATAACGTTGCGGGTATAATGTGACACTCCAAAATTTTTACTCCAAAAAAAATAAATTGTTTAGTATATTTTTTCTAATATAATAATGTAACGGGTATGATGTAACACTTCAAAAAAAATAAAAACGGTTGTGTGGCACGTACATACACCACACAAAAAGCATAAAGCATAAAAAACCCTATAATGCACTTTTGTGTTGTGTGGCACCCATTCAATCGCACAATTTGCCACGTGTTCATCATACAAACTAATAAACATTTACATACAGCCACACGGGACTAATGCTTACGACCAACAACACACCAATTTAAATCACACAACTGTTTATTAAGTCAAACAAAGTTCACTTATGCCTTTTACATAACATAGAGGACTAAATGGATCACAAGGATTAATATGGGACCAAATAGAGCATAAATTTAACATTTAGAATTTATGGGTAACTCTCCCTTTATTATATATATATATATATATATATATTTAATGATTATAAAATAAAAATAAAAATAAAAAATTATAATTAGTTTACATTAAAAAGGATCATTACAGATATAATGAAATATCTTCATTACAAATATACAATGAAAATGATAGTTTTGACATAATTACTTCAATTTTCTTTGTTGTGTTTGGTTGGAAAATCTAGGAAAGGATTTGGAAATGGAAATGAAAAGGGTAAGTAAAATGTGAGTAAAATATACATTTATTTCAACTAGTTTCGCATACATTTTTCCTTTCTCTTTTAAAATTTCCGAACCAAATACAGTGTTAGTTACTTTAAAAGGATTGGAACTAATGCAGATATGTGAAAACATTTTTAAAAATATGATAAAATATAAATTTGAGTGTAAAACATATGATAATATTATTTTTCTACTCATGATTACTGAATTACTAATTAAAAAAGAGCCAAGCATTACGTAAAGAAAAATGCTTCGGACCCCCACTGGGGGTCGACCCCCAGTGAGGTGGCGCGCTGTGATTGGACAAAAAAAAACTTTTTTTTTTTTTTGGGTTTCACCCAGGTTTTGAGTTTCAGCCAGTGGGGGCTCGCCACCTCACTGTGGGTGCGACCCCCACTGGGGTCTCCAGCAGTTCCGTTACGTAAATTAAAACACTAAAAACATATCCAATGGGTTGTTTAAAAGAATATTGTTAACTATTATGGAGTGTTTTGGAAAGTTAGAAAAAAGTTAATTTTTTTACTTTTTTAATTTATTTTGTCTTTTTATAAGTAAAAAATATGAGAGATGACATAATCCAAAATGGATAAAAAACTAAAAGTTGTGTAAAAAACTACTTCCCAAATCATGATCCTATTTTAGATTTAGCTATTATAATAGTTATTTTAACAAACTCTTACAGGCTAGTTATATTTTAAAAATCTTTAAAGGCTTTTAAATAATTATATGGATAAATAGGTTAAATATAAAATAACGTTGAATTTTTTTTTTCTTTTATTTCTTCAATAATTGATATCCAAACAAGAGAAGGTGTGAATTGAGAATTCTTATGGAATGCAAATAAAACGTCCTATCATTGCACGTAAGAACACCAGTAGCTCCCAAGTTAACCACCACAGCACAGTAGTCACCGAGCCGTGTAGGTAAGGCAGAGCCATTGGCTAGTGGAAGTCACCATGGCAGTTCTTGGTTCATCTTTGAGAATTCCTCCATGCAACACCAATTGATTGTAGTAACAGTTGTCTTCTGCAGCTGAAGTTTAGCACAGTTTGATAGTTAACTGTAATAGTAACTGGATTGTCGGCAGTTGCATATGGTGTAGACATGTAGGAAAGATCAGATTGTTTTAAAGCAATGTCGGATTTGTTGACCTCAATCGGTTGAGGCAGACCAGATCACATCATCACACTGATAAAAACCTCAAATCAAAATGATTTAGTAGGACACCTAGTTCTCCAGCAATCGATGTTAACAAGATGGGTTGGGGCTTTTCCCAAACTAAGTCAAAATAACAACTTATTTTTTAAAAGTTTAGCATATTGCAAAAAAGTCAAAAAATTAAAAAATTACTCAAAAAGTTAAAAAGTTAACACTATTCACCAAAAGTCAACAATTACGACTGCACAACTTCCAATCCTAATTTTTCCCTACTAATTAATTTTTACAATTTTTTATTACACATTTTTCCAAAAAAAGTCAAAAAATTAACCCAAACATCCATATTTTCTTCCTCAATTTTTTAGTCTAAAAAGACAAAAAGTGCACTTATTTAGGACACCACAAACAACCCCTAGGCCTAGTTCGGACGAAATTCTCAAATTAGGCTAAAATGTGGTTACAAACCACGCTTTTACCGTTTTGTAGCCCTCCCGTGAAAAATTTGTAAAATCGTAAAAGCGTGGTTACAAACCACGTCTTTAATTAAGAAAGCGTGGTTACGCGTTTAAGAAAATTTGATTTATACATAAAGCGTTGTTAGGAACCACACTTTTAAATAACTTTTTTTTTTTCAAAAAACGTAGTTACGAACTACGCTTTTACTATTAACCAAAAAGAGCGTAGATGATAACCACTCATGTAACCAAAATGTAAAAACGTGTTTTTTCAACACAAAACCACACTCTCTCTCTCAGACACTCACTCTCTCTCTCTCTCTCTCACCCACCACACTCACACATATAATTTTTAATATATATAAATTTTATTTTATAAAATCGAAACTAATATTAAATATATATAATAATAATTTATAATAGCAAATAATAATCAACTATATAATTTTTATAAATATAAATCATTTTTATATAATTTTAGAAATATTTTTTTACAAATTAAATTAAAACAATCATACATACGTATGTATATAACCTGCTCAAATGCTAAAATGATAATTATTTTTTACCCTTAAATGATAATTATTTTTTATTTTTTATTTCTTAACCAAATTAATTTTAATTTTAAAAAAAAAATTCTAAAAATCAAACCATACATAGCCTAAAAATCTTTTGATAAATCATTTTTTACGTTGGTAACTTATTTAATTATTTTAATTATTTGTTAATTTTACGACATTTTTATCATCTGAGGCATGTTTGGTAACCATTTCGTTTTCATTTTTCAATTTATATTTACAAAAATTTTAAAAACTATCATAAAAACTTGTTTGACAATTTTTTTTAGTTTATAAATGGTTGTCTCAATTTGTAAATTTGAGGAAAAAACGTAAATTCAAAAAATGAGTTTACATTGGTTTTTAAACAAAAAATTAAAAATTTTACTAACAAATTTTTTTTCAATTAATTTTTTTTTCAAATAAATTCAAAAAATGAGTTTATGTTGGTTTGTAAATAATTTTTTTTTTCAAAGAAACTCATTTTTTAAATTTACGTTTTTTACTCAAATTTACAAATTGAGACAATCATTTATAAACTAAAAAAATTATCAAACAAGTTTTTATGATAGTTTTTAAAATTTTTGTAAATGTAAATTAAAAACTAAAAACGAAATGATTACCAAACATGCCTCATATAGTAAAAATGTCGTAAAATTAACAAATAATTAAATAAGTTACAAACGTAAAAAATGACTTATCAAAAGATTTTTAGGCTATATATGATTTGATTTTTAAAAATTTTTTTTTTAAATTAAAAATTAATTTGGTTAAGAAATAAAAAATAAAGAATAATTATCATTTAAGGGTAAAAAATAATTATCACTTTAATTTTTAGACAGGTTATATACATACGTACGTATGGTTTGTTTTAATTTAATTTGTAAAAAATTATTTCTAAAATTATATAAAAATAATTTATATTTACAAAAATTATAAAAATTAAATAATTAATTATTATTTGCTATTATAAATTATTATTATATATATTTAATATTAGTCTCAATTTTATAAAATAAAATTTATATATATTAAAAATTATATATGTGAGTGGTGGGTCGGTGTGTGTGTATGAGAGAGAGAGAGAGAGAGAGTGAGTGTGAGTGTCCGAGTGAGTGTGTGAGATTGAAGCCTCTGAGTGATTTTGTGTTGAAAATGTGTTTTCAAAACATGTTTTTACATTTTGGAATTTTGGTTAGATGCGTGATTATCATCCACGCTTTCTTTGGTCAACAGTAAAAGCGTGGTTCGTAACCACGTTTTTTGAAGAAAAAAATATATATACTCAAAAGCGTGGTTCCTAATAACGTTTTATGTATAAATCAAATTTCCTTAACCACGTGGTTTGTAACCACGCTTTCTTAATTAAAAGCGTGATTTGTAACCACGCTTTTACGATTTTACAAATTTTCCACGGGAGGGCCACAAAAACGGTAAAAGCGTAGTTTGTAACCACGTTTTAGCCTTGTTT